ATATTATATTAAAACGAGAGTAGTGAAGCATGTGGTTAAGCCAAGTGGCAAGCTAAAATGAAGCCATTTGGCAATTTAAAGACAACATAAAAATTTAAATTATAAATGGAAACATATTTAATGGAAATAGTAGTCCAAGATTTTCTGTAAGTTGAATTTCATTCTTTAGTTAATCAAAGCCAATTATTTTAAGATAAATAGAAATAAAAATGTTCTTTTTTTAATGAATGACCAAAGACGTACACCAAAAAAAAAGGATGCAATTTTCATTAAGCAAACCAATATACTATAACTATAGGTATCTTTAATTAAATTTGTGTATAATATAGATTTTGTGTATAATTCAGTAATGGTATGAATCCTTTTTTGAGAAGAATCATTATATCTTACACATTAATTTTAATTCTTTATTTAGTACAAGCTTTGTATTTGACCTTATTTGTAAACAATATACATTACTATAGGTATATTTAACTAAATTTTATGTATAATTCGGTTATGATAAGTATCTTTTTTTGAGAAAGAATTAATTAAAATTTTGTTAATTTTGTTTTGTATCTTACACATTTATTTTAAGTTGAAATAATAATTCTTTATTTAGTACAAGCTTTGTATCTAACCTTATTTGTGAACAATATACATTACTATATATATCATATACATTACTATAGGTATCTTTAATTAAGTTTTGTTTATAATTCAGTTATGGTAGGTATCCTTTTTAAGAAAGAATTAATTAAATTTTGTTAATTTCGTTTTGTATCTTACACCTTAATTTTATGTTGAAATAATAATTTTTNTAAAATTTTGTTAAGTTTGTATCTTACACATTTATTTTAAGTTGAAATAATAATTCTTTATTTAGTACAAGCTTTATATCTGACCTTATTTGTGAACAATATACATTACTATATATATCATATACATTACTATAGGTATCTTTAATTAAGTTTTGTTTATAATTCAGTTATGGTAGGTATCCTTTTTAAGAAAGAATTAATTAAATTTTGTTAATTTCGTTTTGTATCTTACACCTTAATTTTATGTTGAAATAATAATTTTTATTTAGTACAAGCTTTGTATTTGACCTTATTTGTGAACAATATACATTATTATAGATATCTTTAATTAAATTTTGTCTATAATTCAGTTATGGTAGGTATTCTTTTTTAAGAAAGAATTAATTAAATAAATATTTTGTATCTTACATCTATATTATATTAAAGGAAATATTATTAACAAGATGACAAAGGAAAAAGACAAGAAAAATTAAAGCTTGGTGGTTGATAAAAAAATAAACGAAAGTTAAAAATTCAAAAAACCCAAAGCTAAAAAATGAAGATTTGTGTCATTTCTTGAGTGCACTCGCTCTTACATATTGATTTACACATACCTTTTTTTAAAATTAAGATTTCAGATGCCTTAAAATTGATTTACTACGATATCCTTTCCTTAAAAATCTTTATTTAAGCAACTTTTATTTAGGTTTGGCTTCTCTACATTGCTTAGGGTTTAGCTTACGCACAAACTACTGCAAAGTATGGCTCCAAACTATAACTATATCAGCGAAATATCAACGTCCAAAATGAGTTAGAATTTGAAGGTTCGTGTTGTTAGACTATAGCACGTTCCAGACCGTGAGAAACCAGAAAATCTTAATTCAATTAAATTAATTATTCAAGATGAAAGGTGCATACTCTTTTAGCTGTTGTTATTTTTTCGAGTTGTGATGTATTTTTTTCAAGTTATGCGCCTTATTAACTTAACTTAACTTTTTTTTTCAAATTTTTTGTTTAAGAGAGATCGAATTCATGCAACTATTGGAAGAGCTGTTATTAAATGATTTATCATTTAATTATTGAGTATTGTTATTGTCTTATGATCCTTTGGTCTTATGTATCATTTTCTTTAGTTATTATTTTTAATTTGGTATAACTATGTTATGTGGTAGTTCATTAGAGGTGACATTTTAGTTTTATTTCCAGCGCCTCACTCCTAGAATCTTGAAGCCAATTAAGTATTTTTTTTTGTTTTCTTTATATATGATTTACTATGTGTCATTATTGGTTACTGCATTTTGTGTATTTTATTGTCGTGTTGTTGTGATTAATCTGCCACAAGTTTTTATCATATTTGAGTGATATTGTCGTGTTAGCTTGCAGATTAGTGAGAAATGAAGAATACTAATGGATTATACTAGCAATCCTTATCTGCTGTTGGGTGGACAACAACAGTGAACAAAGAACCAGAAACTGGAGAATTCCATATTGAGGTAGTATGCAACTTTTTACTTTAACGCAAAGTTGGATAATTTACTGCAGAGAGCATAATATAAGCTAGATGCATTGGGAAAGTCTAAAAAGATATCACCTGTAGTGACATGGAACAGTGGCCTGTGACTATGTTATCTGCAGTCCAAGTGCATGAAGCTCATCTAGATTCTGATGTTGGTATGATGAGATCTATCGGCTTCCTAAAATCCAAGCTATTGATGTATTTGAATATATTTTATTCTACACTTAATCAAAACATCTGAAAGTGTGGAATAATTTTAGATGCCAACTAAGTTTCCTTCTAAAGGATCATTCTGGCATGTCTTCTTCATTATCTCATCAGTAATACAATATATGTTGTCTCTCATTTTCGTAAAAAATTATCGCCCAAGGACCAGAAATTCTTGAATTTTTACCCATGCTTTTTTGTAGTAATAAACCTCAATACAGAGGACAACTTCTGGAAAATGCAATGCAATATGTCCATGAGCATTTGCTACAATAATGTTCCATTAGGCACATGCTTCATATCAAGCAAATTATATAACATCATTATTTTTCGTGGAATGTTCATATCAAGCAAATTGTATAGTATCATTATTTTTTATGGAACAATTATTAGGAGATGGAATGAAAGTTTTACCGAAGTCCTAATATGTTTTTAATGTTTGGTTGTAAAGATTGTATTAATACTAACATATTAAATTTTATGGTGCACATCATTCTTTTTAATTATCCGCGCATCGCGCCGGTACTAATACTAGTTGTCATTAATAGCATCATTCTTTGTTTATTTCATAAATAATTTGATTTTTGTACAACTTTAGCATATTTTAAAACATATATATGCAGGTTTAAAAATAAATAGATTCCCCAAATTAAGGAATCGGTTTTATCATTATTAATATTCGAAACTTTCTCTCTCCTTTTTGTACTATAAGAGCCTGTTTGGACATAAGAAATTTTTTCCATTTTTCCCGAATTTTTTTTATTTTTTTTCGAAATCCGTATTTGTTCATAAAATTTTCAACTTTTACTTGAAGTTGAATTTTAAAATTTTTCAAAAATTTTGAAAAATCCCAAAAAAATATTTTTCAAAATTTTAACTCATATAGTTCACAAAACTTAAAAATAACCCGAAATTATATTTATATCCAAACAGAATTGACCGTCTCACTTAGAAATCTTTTTTCACGTTTTTTTGGAATTATACAATTCTTATGTCCAAATGCCGACTAAAACTTTCGCCTTTTTCTCTATCAATTTCTTTTTGAAGCCTTTTGCTTTCATCTATGGCGACTAACGGTGTAGGTGGCCATTACCACTAATCAAGTTAGGCCGATTTTCCTTTTCAAAAGGCTGTGGAGAAGTTGCATCTGTTTCTGCTTGATTCTAGAGAATTTTTTTATTATTTCTGGGTTTTTGGCAAGCCGATTTGGTCTTCAATTCTGCTGATAGCTGTTGGAATCGTTGCTGAGCTCTAGTCGAGGCTATTTCTGACCTTTATTTGGTCTGTTCCCTAGTGTTTTCTCGGCTTTGAACTGGTAAGTTCGACATCTATGTACTTACATGTTCCTTTGAAATGACAGCCCCTATTCTCAATGAAATCTGGCATAATTTGTTAAACTCTCATGTTTGGACTGTAATATGATTATGGACATGAGTGCATTTGTCACGTAGTGTAATTAAAGTAGATGGTGAAATTTGGTTAATTCAAGATATGAACACCAACATAATTAATTTATGGAATGAGTAATTAAACAATCTAATTAAGCAAGTATGATTAAACGACCGTCCTAAAACCATGGAACTCGCGGTAAAGGAGCCCACTAGCGGTGAAAAAGCTCCTTGAGGCTTGGCTAACTGACACGCTAACCAGTCATAGAAAACGTAAGGACTTGCGTTACACCGACTACGGTCGAGCAGCATGGCCCTTGCCCTCCTCCAATAACAGGTACTACTCACACTGTTAATAATGCAGGTGACAACACCCTCACAGCCATTTTGAAGGAGGAATCATTCTCCTTATTTACATAAATACCATTCATTGCTATTTTGTTGCTTGATGCTCCTCTATTATTGCTCAAATCCTTTGGAATATTAAATGTGCACTATTTTCAGGTCCCCACCAGCATTATCTCACGTTATTTATGCTAACTAGTTCTAAATCTAGAGTCATTATCATTAACTAGGTTTAACCCTTTATTACATAAGATTTAATAATTTAACCGAAAGTTTGTATTTTTTGGTCAAACACTGAGCTCACACTGTAAAGAAAATTTACACAGTAAATCTATAGAAGTTAAATCCTAGGATTATTTAAATTCCATATTTTCTCGGTTTTAAAAAAATAAAAAAGGAAAATTTTCAGCCAAATTAACACTTGGCCCGCGGCTGCCAACAACTGCCCGCCGTTTCTGTCTCCGGCCAACTCCAGTTGTAAGTTCCTCTCTCTCTCTAACACATATACGCATATCTCTTTTTCTCTCTCATATCTCGCTTATGTATGTCTTTTTAATGATTTGACTATTGATAGTCTTTAGGTAAATTGGAGATATGGAAAATATAGTTAAAAAGTATCAGCAGAGATTCAGGAAGGTGAAGGAAGAGATGGACACGTGGAATGATCTTCAATCTCGACTGCTTTCTCAGTTCACCAATGCTTCTTCCATCATTCAGCGGTTACAGGTAATTAACTTTCCCAGCTTTTTTAACCATGTTCTAATGGCTAGCTTCTAACAGTAAAGGGCTTTTGACATAGTTTACTTTTGTCCCTTATAAAAGATTATATTTTTATGCAGATTCTTCAAGATTCTAAGAATTATGGTGCCCTGAGTTGTGTTGAAGGCATTGCAGAAGCTGTTTTGCTTAAGCAAATGGATTCTCTTCAAACTATCTTGCTTTCTATGAATCAAACTCTGTAGGTCCTTTTTTTTTGTCTTTGTATTTCATGATTTTTAGTAATGTCAATCAATCAACTATATGTCAATCCGAACTAGTTGGGGTCGGCTATATGAATCCTTTTACTATTCGGGCTCATTTCATTCTAATACCCAAAATTAGTCTTTTAAGTTAAACTAGAGGTTATTTGAAACACTTATATGCAAGTCTCTAACTAGAGATAAAATAACTAGTGGCAAACACAAACTTTCCTCAGTTATAAAAGTCAAATATTTGTCCTTGCCCTTTCGAATTTTTTGTTTTGTTTTTTTTGTTGGTAATTGATTATGTTAGCAAAAGTAGCATTATTTTCCTTGTTTTTGACTTTCTTAAAACCGTGGGATGAGTTTTGTTGTACTCCTTTGTAATGTTATAGAGCAATAAGTGAATTGCTTTTGTAGTTTACTTGTGCATTTAGTTATTGGAGCTAGATGTTGATTATCAACTAAGAGGGTTATTCTTTTTCCCCTCTTTCTGTTTGGTTCAAAATCTAGGGAAAATTTTCGTTCTGTCGTGTTATCGCTTGAGAAGATGGTTCGTGATGGTAGACAGCTCGTAAAAGGGGGATACACTCAAGTAACTGTGAAACAGCTGCAGCAACGCGTTGGAGTAAAACCAAGCATTGCTGATTGCTTGGATGGGCTAAAACTTCTCTGTGAGATGCACCAATCAGAGTATGCATAGATAAGAAAATATATGTTTTTCCTGTTTCACTTTTCCTGCCTTATTTATCTTAAATTACGAAGTTTATTGTCTTTTAGTACTAGTAAATTCCATTGTTGAGCCTTTATTGCAGATAATATGCTGTTTCCTAGTAATATAGCTGTACTTTGATCTTTCTTCCTTTGAATTAGATTTTCAGATGTTATCCTTAAAAAGAAAAATGATATATAATCATGCTATCCACTATCACCTCAGTATCACTTCCTGCATCAGGAGCTTTTTCTCTTTACTGTGAAAATGATATAGCTGTGCTATTTGCTATGGTAGGTTAACATGAACAAAATTTTGGTTTGAAATCAAGTTACATCCTTCTTCTCTTTCTTCCTGTCACCTCGAATGGATTTGATATAGTTTTCTTCTAAGTTGCCCGATATGGCAGTTTAGGTGCCGTACCCGTGTCGACACGACACTAGTATGGGTGTGGGTATGGGATGTACCGGATCTGGTCAAACAATTTTGGGTACTTTGACCACGTCAGACAGAAAAATTCGAGACGAGATACAATTTGATTCCTGAAAATCAGAACCAAAACTAGGGTAAATCGAAAGAAAATAGCATACTTTATCTAGGAAATCAATTATTTACTTATCTACAACTTGAGAATAAAGAAATTCACACTTTACAAGCTAAGTATTCCACAGAATTTCTCATAATTTAGAGATATTTTTATATTTTTATTTTTTTGAATTATTTTTTGCCGGATCCTCCCACCCGTATCCATACTAGGATCCATATCCCAGATTCTTAAAATTTACATCTCAAAGGATCCTATCTCTAGATCCGCACCCGTGTCGGACACCCGCACCCGTGTCCGAGCAACTTAGGTTTTCTTTTGCCATACGAACTAGTTCTTATCCTTGCATTATTATGCATTGAACACTTTACGTTACTGATTCTCTCAGTACATTATTTCAGGTACCATCTTAAATTATCGGTCATATCAGCAGTTGCTTTAAAACCCAGGTTTCATATGACACAGTTTTTTTACACTTATTTTCCTTTCTAGATCTCACTGGCAGAGCTAGGTATAGGTGGTCAATGCCCTGTCAATTTATTTTTCTTTTCCTGTTTTGTTGGCTTGATATCCGTTTTTGAGTCAAAAATCAAGCTCATTCTGTTTCGATTCGTGAAGAGCATTGGGATATTCTGGGATTTCATCCTAGTCTTGTCGTTAGGTTCCATTTCTCTTTCTTTCTAAAAATTTATGCACATATTGGAGCTTGATTTCCCTGCAGTGCAACTGATGATTTAGGCACGCTTCAGCAACTGTTGGTTGATCAGCCTAACATCCCCAAAGAGGAAGGTGAGTAAAAATCGATGTAGTCAAGCAATTCAAGTGACTTGCTAATCCATGTGGCTTATGGTGTGGGTTTGAATTTGTGCAAGTCGCATCAAGAACGAAACTATCCATCTTTATTCATCCTAAAAAAAAAAGAACAATAAAAGTGTCAGTATTAATCTAACAGTCCATAGACAGTTACTCTTTCCTGTTAAATGAACATCTTGTTGTCAGAACAAACTGTTATTGCATGGCAGTTGTATCTTTGCACGTTTATGATTAGAAGAACTGAATGTATTTTGGTTTTGTCAAAATTTGGATCTGGTGATTACAAGTTCTCTTTCGTTAAGTAAGGAAAGAGAATTTTGTATTAGAAGTACCAATATGTGGATATGACATTTGTCTGACATGAGTCAATAATATTCTGTCAGACACGAGTCTAGGACAACCTAAAATTAGAAGGCAGACACACTTTGGGTGCAGCCTGAACTAAAGATATGGATGTTGACTTGATAATGCATGGAAAGTTTGTTATGGAAGAAGAAAAAAAAGTTATATATTGCCTCTTAAACCTGGATTACTGACCTCTATGCTCACAGTCAAACCTAGAATGTAGGAGTTAATTAAAAGATTATAAAAACATTGAATTGCTTCAAAATTGTGAATTTTACAATTAGAGTCTCAGACATGTAGTTTTTCATTATTCCTCTTCCCCTTCCTTTGTGGTTTAGTTATTAAGGCAGCTAGTACCCACCGTAATGTTGTTTAAGTTACTAATGATGCGTAACTTCAGTGTTAATTATCCCATCAAGTTACCTAATGCCTTAGATTATAGCTCCTCGGAAATGTACAAGGTAAGATCAACCATATGAAGCCTCTTGACAATGTAGTTTTGCTTGTAGCTGGAATTAAGCATTATGGCAGTAAGGTTTTAGCTCGAGTTAAGCTTCAGCTGTGCTAAAACAGAAGCTTTTAATGCATTGTTTGAAGTGCACATGTATGTTGTTGTTATTGAACCCATACTTCTACATTCTAATTGCTTCTATTCTGCAGTACAATTCATTTTTGATATCATATTCGCTGAAGAGATGGCTTGATGTCCTTCTCGCATGGATTTTTGGACTCATGAAGTGATTTCTGAACTGGGGAAATCTGTTTTAAGTTCAGACTGAAGAGATTGAGGCTTTTCCCTGACCAAAGAGAACACAGTCGTCGATATTGGAGTCCTATCCAGTGGATATTTGCTCTTGGGTAAAGCAGAGAATTATTTTGATCACTCCAGGCGGAAGGGGTTGGAACCTGGAAATGGAAGAGATTCTTAATATAGATATCACTGTAAACTTTAGCTGCTTTGTATATTTATTTCATTTATTTACATTTTCTATAAACAGCGTTTTTGTTCTATTGGTCCTTAGCTGGTAACATAGTTGTGATCAAATATGAAACATCTTAACTAGTGATCTTTTTGGCAAGGGTATCCAAATTCTGATTGTTGAGATTAAAGAAATAACATAGAGTCCTTTGAGTCAACCCAAGAATTTAAGTATTTAAATATTTTCCCCAACTACAGAAATAAAAAATCATAATTTGTAGTTTTCCACTTGTTTGTTGTATTCATTCATCAACATCAACTCCTGCTGCCAGCTCTTTCCCTTCCTTCTTCCTCTCCAACATGGCCCCATTCAAGAACAATATGAATTTTGCTCAATTTCATCTTTGGACTTTGTTGCTGAGTTGATTTCATAGTCTTGACCGTTGAGCTCCTTTTCCCTAAAGGTATGAGCCTTTTAGGTTAACTGATGTTTTTTTTCAATTCAATTCTAGTTTTTTTAACTGTCCCAAGTAAAGGGTGTTACCCTTTTTCCAATTGAAATTGGGGTACAACTAGTTTTCGTTTGTATCGACTTCTTTTTGGTCATTGAACTTGATCAGTGAATTGTTAATTTTACTATTTGTAATTTGTTTGGATCATTGTAATTTTGATCTTTGATTATAGGGCTACTAGTTAATTTTGATCATTGTTATTGTAGTTGGATCATAGGGATTTTACTGGGTTGTTGTTGTTGATGATTATAGGGCTACTAGTTGTATTTTCCACAAGTCATTTCTCTTTTGGGATCTTCTGTTACAAGTTCCTCTTGTTTAGTTTTGGTCACATTTTCAAAGATGGAATTTTGTATATCATTAAAGCATAGCGATGACAACAATTGAATAGAAGAGAAATGCTGATGGCTTGATTAAAAACATAAGCTTGGTTAAAAGAATTCCTATAAGTGGACACTTCGAATTGTGTAGCATTCCGTGAAGCCTCTCCGTTTTCTATTTCTTGTTTTATGTTTTGCTTTCATCTATGGAATTGAAGTCTGGGAAAATGGACAAGGGATGATATTGCTTTACCAGTTTAGTTTTTCTTTTTTCATCACATCATGGAAATAGTAGCATTTCATATTAGTGGGAGCAAACTCTTGCTCAAGAGGTCGGCTTATGTGTGAGCTGCCATTTGTTTGAGATTTTTGTGTTAGGATTTGAAGTTATGTTAGATGCATTGACAGGTACAAAGCTTTAATGGCGGAAAGCTGGGATGGGANGGAGCAAACTCTTGCTCAAGAGGTCGGCTTATGCGTGAGCTGCCATTTGTTTGAGATTTTTGTGTTAGGATTTGAAGTTATGTTAGATGCGTTGACAGGTACGAAGCTTTAATGGCTGAAAGCTGGGATGGGAATCATGATCCTGGTAGCCCGTCCGAGGAGAGTTACCATCTCGAGAGACTGCACATAGAACCAATTTATGATGCATTTATATGTCCTTTGACAAAACAAGTAATGCAGGATCCTGTTACCCTGGAAAATGGCATGACTTTCGAGAGGGAAGCTGTTGAGAAATGGTTCAAGGAATGTAGGGATAGTGGAAGAAAGCCTGTGTACCCTTTTAACGCATAGAGATCTGAAGCACGGAGCTGAATCCAAGTATAGCTCTATGAAATACCATTGAAGAATGGAATGCAAGGAATGAAGCTGCACAAATAGATATGGCTCGCAGATCATTATCACTGGGTAGTGGGGAGAGTGATATTATGCAGGCTTTGAAGTTTGTCCAGCACCTTTGCCAAAAAATCGCTCAAACAAACATGTTATTCGAAATGCGGAGCTCATACCCATGATTGTAGAAATGTTAAGAAGTAGCAGTCGCAGGGTTCGATGTAAAGCTCTTGAAATGCTTCTAGTTGTGGTAGAGGACGACATGGATAATAAGGTTGTAGAACTTTGGTAAAAATTACTTATGTTGTTACCAAAGTCGATTTTATGATGTTGATTGTTCCTATTATTTATGTTTTTCCAATTTTAATTTCTTTTATCATATGCCCTGCTCTTTCCTCAGGAAATAATGGCTGAGGGTGACAACGTACGGACAATAGTGAAGTTCTTATCACATGAACAATCCAAAGAAAGAGAGGCAGCCATTTCTTTGCTGTACGAGCTATCGAAATCTAAGAGTGTGAAAAAATTGGTTCAGTTAATGGGGTAATTCTGATTCTGGTTGGAATGGCTAGCAGCAAATCGGAGAATCTTGTGACTGTTGAGAAGGCTGAGAATACTCTGGAGAACCTGGAAAAGTGTGAGATTAATGTAAAACAAATGGCTGAAAATGGTCGGCTGCAGCCCCTTTTAACTCTACTACTTGAAGGTACTTTACTTGATGTCTGAATCTCCATCTCTTGTGCTTCCTTGTATTACGATAAATGTTTATTTGTTCCGCTTGATAGCTTCAAAGGATGACAGCTTGCTTATTGTTTATTTGTTTGTTCTCTTTCTCTCCCTCTCTCTCTCTCTCTCTCTGTTGCCTTTTATTGTTGAAACTTGAAACAACAAACTCAAATTAATTAAGTCTAAAGAATAAACCATTTCAGTGTAGAGAGCAAGTTGTCATATGTAGGATAGTTAATAAAAAACTCTAAGCGCCTTTTTTCTTAGTCAGTACTCAGTATATTTTAGTTATTCGTATGATTCTAGTAGATACGTATTGTATGACATACGCCATGAGGAGATCTGAAACGTGAGAGCGTCAGCGTGGTAGGAAGTTCTTTACTTCAAAGTATGTTTTAGCCGTATTTTGTTCATAGAAAATCAAGGAACTTACTCTAGAAGTTCTAGACAGAGATAAAAAGGCCAAAAGACAAAATATCGTTAATAGTAATGGTTGAATGAATTACAAAGTTGAAATACAGTTCTATTTATAGGAAAAAGGACTAACTATCCTCATCCTGAACAATCTAGGACTCCTAATTATTGTGAATCAAGAAATTGATTCGAAGGTACTAAAGATGACATTTTTAAGACAAGGGAACAACAAAGCAAAAAGTTACTGAAAATAAATAGGACCTAACTAATAACCCCAATTCTAAAGAACTGCTACAAGACTTATCACAATAGCAAAATTTTTACGGTAACAATGAACAGCAAACTCTGTAAAGTGCTTTCATGAAAGTTTCCTTCTTTATTTCTGCATCTGCTGTACTTGGGTGGAGAAGAACTTGTCTCAAGCTTGGCTTTCGTCGATCAGTAAGATGTCCATGCAACCGTTATATCCTTTTTTTCTTTCTTTTCATTTGCCCAGCGAACTGAAGTTTCTTCATGTGCAG